GTTTCCGGACAGAGCAATGAGTGACGAACCATAACTGGCAATATCTGTTTCAGATATTATTAGGCACTTCAGGAAAAAGAAAAGGAAGCCAATCGATCCTCAGAACAAAATGTGGATATTTATCAAAGTTGTGCTTTGTGAGTTCTTCAAAATAAGCCACTACGGCAAACCACACTAGAATCGAAATCTAAACGAGTATGTTTTCATTTGTTTTTAAACTGCACCATGACTGGCCACAATTTAGTCTCCAAAGTGTTTTACGTTCGCAAATGTTTGAACTTGAAAAACTAATAGTAACAATAATGTATTCTCTTAGAACAAAACACGGAAATTGCCTCAACCTTTTACCGAGTACTGTTTCTCAGCGGTCATTGAACTTGGCGAATTTAAAAGGTCACTTTCTCAGAAATGTTGTTAAAAAGGACAAAATTTAATGTCATGGTGAGGTAGCGAAAGTACTTTTTAAAAATCTTGCTTACTCGGCGTTCATGTTCCCTTTACCGTGACTAAAACGTCCTTGCACTTGAAAAACATCTCCAGTACCCCCCCAAAAAATGCCAACGAATTTAAACTTTATCAGTACCAGTAAAAATAAGAGACAGTCACCCCTCGCTGGCACGACAGGAAAAAAAAGGAGACATGTTATTTGAGCCAGTACAAAGAAGGCGGCGATGTATTTCGCAACAACGCTCTCTAGGAGCAGCAAAGTAGTCTAGTAGTTTTATAGTTGTGTGCTTTGCTATGCTTGACACAAGTAGGCTGTAGGCGCTCGTATGACCTTATACAGTTGCAAGCGCCGTAAACTAAAAATCAAGTAGGCTATTTCGAAGGCAGACTTCATGGTGAGGTTTCAGGTTCGTATAGACAAGGCCCTCGGGTCGACAGATCGCTACCACAAAATTACAAAGTTCTGTGTGACCTTTTTAGACCGTTTTGAGTTACAATGGCCATGAGGTCAGAAATCAAATGTGTCATGACGTGGTGGAATCAGGCGCACGTCAACTTTTGGGCATGTGGAGTTATAGGTATCGCCTTGAAGCGTGTATATTCACCTTGCTTTCGATCAACGAAATACCCTTTTATCTTGAATACAAGTTGAAATATTTGCGATTGAAGGAGGTGGGGGTCGCTTGGTTTCAGAGATAAAATTATCGAGAAAATGGTCGCCAAAATTTGGTTATTTACATAGCCTGAGAGTTCGTGGAAACTGACAATTTACATTTTTTTAGCCTTTAATCATTGTTTTCCAGTAAAATCCACACTTAAATGGGTTTTAAAATCTACATAAAAGGTGTTGAGCCAACCCCCCCCCCAAAAAAACAACAACAACAAACAAACGAACAACAACAACAAAACAACAACAACAAAAACAACAACAACAACAAATTGTCAATAAAATTGCCAAACTGGCGAAGAAATGTCAATTTCATCGATTTCATTATTGTAACGAGTGCCTGATTTCACCGCGATAGAACACAAATGCTGCGTCTGCTCTATCAACATCGTAAGATTATTCGGAGTGTTTATAAAGATATTTAAAGAACTGCATTCAAAAACGCTTGACATGTTGTGAAACTCAACAGTTTAAACAATACATTTCTCAAAACTAGTTAGATTTACCAAGCAGATAGAAGGGTGTAGTTCTAAGATAGCGAGATGGGTACACTTGATCTCCCTGCGTGGGCACACTCTTTAAAGTATGTCGTTCGATCTCAACACGTTAAGGCGGCATCCATTGTTGAAGTAAACAATGGCTGGACAATGCGTGAGTGTCCTGCGGGAATCGAATATTGTCTGAACGATTTTTGAATTAATGCAGTCCACAAAATGTGTACAGACTCTCTCTTTCTCTACAACTAGCTGAGTTGTTGTCCGGATTCCATTTGCGGGAGGGAGGTGGGGCGATCCTGGTTCGAAAATTGATACAGGTTTGGTTCTTTGGGCTTTCTATCGTGAATAACGCTTCATCATCTCTTTTTCCACACACACACACACACACACACACTCACGCGCGCGCGCCCGCTCGCGCGCGCACACACACACACACGCATAACGTACACACACACACGCACATACACATGTACACGCCCACACTCACACACACACACACGCACACACACACACACACACACACTCACACCCACACGCACACACACACGCATAACGCACACATACGGATAACGACAAAATCACAAGAAAGTGATCGAAGTTCTTTCAGTATAAAGAAATCATACCGAAATGAATGAAACAGAGATATCGGCGTCTACAATAGAAACGATTTGTCTATGCTCAGATAAGGGGTAGTTAAGGCCCAGCTTTTTACGGCACCTGTAACACAATCAGGTCATATCGGTACCGAAGGTTGAAGGTGTTACACGAAAGACGATAGGCTGGTTAGGAAAGAAGGGGCAAATCGCCAACCACCCGCACATTATAACATGGTCGAATAAAATACCTATACTCCTGGTAATTTGTCAGACAGATAAGTACTACAATATGGCATGGTGCTAGTAGCACTGCATGAAGACAACCTTGAGACCTTCTTAAGCTAGATTGACCGTCTGCATAGACGAAAAGAGCCATATATATTAAAAGAGATCAAAGTAAACTTCGACCCTCTCGTAAGTCAGAAGCGTCTTCAATGTGTGACGTCACGTGACCTTAATGTGGCGACACTGAGAGTGGAGAATAGGGACGTATATTATAGTAGGTCAAGAAAGTTATTAATGGAGGACTCAAGTTTACGTTTACCATAATATGTGTCCTGTCGGTGAAACTGTTGCTAAATTAACAGCCGAAGATTACTGTGGGATCAAAATATCACATTGAAGTCGGAGTTTAGGAATATTATACCAATACTATCTTTGAAAATTTCAGTTGCTTAAGGAACAAGAGTTTGCGACCACCACCATTGATGCCCGATATTGTAACGGGAAGATGTGAAAAAAAGCCCAAATAAAATAAAGAAAAACAAAATCGACAAATCTGGGCCTGTGTTTTGGAAATCTGCAGTCCATTTTTTCTTTTACTAATTTGCAATCAACTGTCGGTCCCTGTTTTTTCCCCTCTCTGTCTATATTATTATGTATATGTCTATCTATCTCTATACCTATCCGTACACCTACAAATGAAAATGATAATAGTTTATCCGTCAATGTCTGACAATAATCAATTCATCCGTAGAGGGGAATATTATTAATTAATGTCTTGATTAAGCAAAATAGAAGAAGTTAAGGTTAAGACGACTTGTGGCTTCTTCTATGGCAATCTGCCTACCTACTTACTTTTTACTTTTTGTTTTTCTGTAGTCTTATACCACACGGTGAGAGAGGAGATGTATAACATTGTCGTTCGTGGGCCATTTATGTTGCTTTTTAGATTTAAAAAAATAAAAAATAAAATAAATTACACTTTTATTTGTCCCAGAAGGGCACTTTGTTTTACAATGGCAAACATACATACATAAATACATAATTATAAATACGTACATACGTAAATACATACACTCATTAATACAGACATAAATACACAATATTACACAAATAATGTTATTAGTAGTGTGCCTTTGAATGAGTTTCTTTGACAATACCAATTCATCTCTTTCTTGGATTTCCTTTTGCTTTGAATCCATCCTTTGAATCGCTTGTTGAAGGTCTTAGAGAAAGGCTGTTGGGGCCCCATTCTCATAAGGTGTCCAAACCTTCTTATTAATTGTTGTCTCTCGGGGTATTTCACAATCGATTCCACGCCCTCTATCTATCTATC